CCACTTCAAGTGTAACTGAGCCTGTACAGTTGGCCTCTACACCTGGTATGACGCCTTTAAAGGTCGTCTTTGTGGGTTTAATCCTTGAGGGGTCTATGCCCATTTTGCGCACTGTATCCTGATAAAGCAGGTTCAGGCTGCTGCCTCCGTCCATCAGGACTCTAGTGAGGTGAAATCTGTCAACGATTGGGTCTAGAACCAATGCGGCGAATCCACCATGGCGGATGCTACTGGGGTGGTCCCTTTGATCAAAAGTGATCGGGCAGGAGGACCACGGATTGAACTTTGGGGCGACTGGCTCCATCGCATATACGTCCCTTAGTGCACGCTTCCGCTCCCTTTTGGGTATGTGGGTTGCGTATATCATGTTCACCGTCCGCACTTGTAGGGGGAAGCCCTTTTGTCCTCTATTGTTCGGTGGCCGGGGCTCCTCCTCATCGTTGCTATGCAGCCCCTTGTCATTGTTTTCGGCATTTAACTTGCATGCCTGCTTGAACACCCAACAATCCCTGTTGGTGTGGTTGGGTAGTTTTTCGGGGGTGCTGTGTATCTGGCACGAGCGGACGAGTATTCGGTCCAAGTTGGACAGGCCCGGAGTATTTCTTTTGAATGGCTTTTTCCACTGACCGGGTTTAGAGCCTCTGAATCTGGCATTGACTGTCGTATCTTCAGCATTATCATCGTTAATGTGGCGCTTGTGCTTGTTGCGACGCGACCTGCTATTGCTGTCCTTGGTATCCGAATTACCAGGGCTCTTGGTCATGTTGTTACTACGAGCTAGCCAGCTGTCCTCTCCCACGCAAAAGCGGGTCATGAGTGTTGTGAGGGCTGCCATGGATTTCGGCTTTTCCTGTCCTAGGTGCCGGGCAAGGCACTCATCGCGGATATTATGTTTGAAGGCTGCAAGGGCCTCTGCATCCGGACAGTCGACGATTTGATTTTTCTTGGTTAGGAACCGTGTCTAGAATTGTCTGGCCGATTCCTCTGGCTGCTGAATTATGTGGCTTAGGTCATCGGCGTCTGGTGGTCGCACATAGGTGCCCTGGAAGTTGTTGAGGAATGCGGCTTCCAGGTCTTCCCAACAACTAATTGACTCCGCTGGCAAGCTGTTAAGCCAATGTCGAGCTGGTCCTTTAAGCTTGAGTGGGACGTATTTGATGGCGTGTAGATCATCACCGCAGGCCATGTGGATATGAAGGAGTTAGTCCTCGATCCATACCGCAGGATCTGTTGTGCCATCGTATGATTTGATCTTTACGGGTTTGAAACCCTCGGGGATTTGATGATCCATTACTTCATCTGTGAAGCATAGTGGGTGTGCGGCGCCCCTGTACTGGGCTATATCACGACGTAGCTCAAATGAGCTTTGTCTGTTGTGTTCGGCTCGGCTGGATTTGCTATATCCGGCATGACGGTTATCGTCACGTGTAGTGGGGCGCCCACGTGATCCGTAGATCAATCTTGTTTGCCTTGCCTTGTCCTCCAATATATCTCGTAGGTCTGGCACATTTCCCCGTGCCTTGGTACTTTTTGAGCGACGCCGGGGTGCGGCTTGAGTGGAGGGCCGAGAGGCCTCTCTGTCGCGGCCACGAGGTGGCCGGTCGGCCACATCATGCGCTGGTGATGTAGGTTTGGGTGCTTCCTCCTCTAATCGGGGTAGCAGCCTGTGTTTTGGGTAGCTCTTGGAGGGGCGTTCGAGTTCATACTCTTCGGCCGCAAGGACTTCAGTCCATCTGTCAGCTAGCAAGTCTTGGTCAGCTCTAAGTTGTTGCTGCTTTTTCTTGAGGTTGCTTGTCGTGGCCATAAGCCTGCATTTGAAACGCTCCTGTTCGACTTGATCCTCAGGCACGACAAATTTGTCGTCGTCGAGGCTTGCCTCGTCTTCGGAGGGAGGCATGTAATTATCGTCCTCTACCTCTTTATCTGCCGCTCTCTCATGAGGGTTGGCTTCTCCATCCTCCTGCGCTGAATCCTGCTGGAGGGGTTGTCTTCGGCACTTTTCGGGGTGTTATTGTCTCCCGTGCCGGAATCACCATTTTTGCTGTGGCGGGATTTAGAGCGGCGCCACTGACGCCGGCGCTTAGGCTGTTTCTTGGAGGGGTCATCCTTCGTTGTTCCATCGCCATTCCCATCTTTTGAGATGTCCACCATGTATATGTCGTATGATGAGGTGGCCTTCTAGTACCCTGTAGGCGCTGGTTCTTGGTCGTCTCCTGCATCGTCGTCCATACCGTCGATGTCTTTGGAGTCGAAGTTGGGCATGTCGGTTAAATCATCGACAGTGGCTACGAAGTGGGTGGTGGGTGGGCTTTGAATTTCTTCGTCGTCCGCATCCCAACCTTCCTGACCATAATCCGGCCAGGGATCTCCTGATAAAGAGAGAGACTTTAGCGAATTCAGGATGTCGCCAAAGGGCGAGTTCTGAAAGATGTCCGCGGCAGTGAACTCCATGATCGGCGCCCAATCGGATTCGATAGGCAGGGGCACGGAAGGTTCGGAGTCCGGAGAGGAGTCCGGCACCTTGGAGTCACGAGCTTCGCAAAGGACGGGGTTGGTGTTCGGCTCAATCGTCGTAGAGATAGCAGCCCCTGAGGCGGTGTCCAGCCACCCGTCCTCGATCGGCGCAGTCGCCTCCGAGCTAAGGGTCGGAGCGTACACTTGTGCGGCCTCCAGGGCACTGTCCGGCGGCAGAGCTAGATCATGCCCATCGTGACAGTGCGGCGCTCTTGGCTGTGGCTCAAACCCGTCGAAGATCAAGTCTCCGCGGACGTCAGCCGTATAGTTCAAACTTCCAAATCTGACCTGATGGCCAGGGGCGTAGCTTTCAATCTGCTCCAGATGGCCAAGCGAATTGGCCCGCAGTGCAAAGCCGCCGAATACGAAGATCTGTCCGGGGAGAAAAGTCTCACTCTGGACCGCATTGTTGTTGATGATCGGAGGAGCCATCAGGCCTAAAGATAACGACACAGAGGAACTCTCAATGAAAGCACCAATGTCGGTGTCAAAACCGGCGGATCTCGGGTAGGGGGTCCCGAACTGTGCGTCCAGGCGGATGGTAACAGGAGACAAGGGACACGATGTTTTTACCCAGGTTCGGGTCCTCTCGATGGAGGTAAAAATCTACTCCTGCTTGATTAATATTGATGATATGGGTAGTACAAGAGTAGATCTACCACGAGATCAGAGAGGCTAAACTCTAGAAGCTAGCCTATGGTATGATTGTTGTTCGTCCTACGGACTAAAACCCTCCGGTTTATATAGGAACCAAAGAGGGTTAGGGTTACACAGAGTCGGTTACAATGGTAGGAGATCTACATATCCGTATCGCCAAGCTTGCCTTCCACGCCAAGGAAAGTCCCATCCGGACCTCAGGCGCCGGCCGGCGACGTCCAACTCTCCTCTTTCGACCAGCGCATCCCGCCTTTCGCGTGCACACTGCTCCTCATGTTCGACCATCCGATCGACAATCCCATCGAGACCATCAAGCGGGCGCTGTCGCGAGCGCTCCTCCACTACCGCCCTGTGTGCGGCCGCCTCGCCGGAGCCGATCACCGCATCGTGTGCACCGACGAGGGCGTGCCGTTCGTGGGGGCGTCCGCCGGCTGCGCCCTGGATCTGGAAAAGGTCACTCCGGCGCTGCTCGCGGATCTCGCCGTCGCCTACGCTGGTCCTTTTTGCCGGCGAGCCGACCCGCTGCTGCAGATGCAGGTCACGGAGTTCTCCTGCGGCGGCTTCGTCGTCGGGGTCACGTCGAACCATGTCCTGGCCGACGGCATCGGGATTGGCCAGTTCCTGCAGGCCGTCGGCGAGCTCGCCCGCGGGATGCCGCGGCCGTCCGTCATCCCGGTCAGGTCGGCCGCCGCGATCCGGGATCTCCCTCCGCCCACGGCCACGACGGAGGAGAGGCGCTCCTTGATGAAGCCCAAGGAGAAGGAGGGCCAGGGCGCCTTTCTCGACATTATCGTCCCGTCGAGCCTCATCGGCCGCGTCAAGGCCAAGTGCGCCTGCACGCTGTTCGAAGCCGTCACGGCGGTGCTGTGGCGGTGCCGGACACGCGCGGCCATCCAAGACCCGGAGGCCCCCGCGCCGCTCGTCTTCCCAAACAACGCGCGCGAGCTCTTCGGCGCGCACGACGGCTACTACGGCAACTGCACCATCATGAAGTCGGTGCGAGCGACGCGCGCCCAGGTGGCCGACGGCGACATCAGGGACGTGGTGCGGCTCATCAGGCGCGGCAAGGAGACTCTGCTGGAGGCCGAGGCCGGCGGCGGCGCGTAGACCGGGGGAGACTTGTACAACAGGCTGGCCGTGTCGAGCTGGCGGCGCATCGGGTTCGACGCGGCCGACTTCGGCGGCGGCACGCCGGCGCGGGTGATGTGGCACGAGGACCGGATGGTAGTGCCGGAGTGCATCGTGTGCCCGCCGTGGAAGGGCAAGGACGGGGTCAACGTGCAGTCACTCTGCGTCAGGCCAGAGCACGCCGCCTCCTTCCTGGCCGAGCTCGCCGCAATGTGATGTGATCCCCTGCTCGTTCTTCACCCCGCCCCGCTCCCGACCACAGCTGCCCAAACGTAGAATCCAGCCAAAGTATGTGAAGGTCTCTTTGAGATGAAAACAAATACTAGTAGTAGTATGAATTTCAGATGAAAACAGACCTCTCTTTGCAATGTATCCGAATAAAAGAGCAAATTCGTTTAGTTCCTGTACATTATAGAAGAAGCATCACTTTTTTATCAACAAAAAGTGAGTACTATGCCAAAAAAGTACTATGTCATTGGATGCACATTTCAATGAACTTTCTGATGTTGTACTTTTTACGACATACAAACCATATTTTGTAGATCAAAATTATATAAGTTAAATATTAACATGAAAAATAAAATGGCCTTGTATATAGAAATAGAGGGAGTAGAACAAACGAGGAGTAGTTTGATAGATACGGAAAGCAAACACTCCTCCAGCGCTCCAGCGCGTGCTCTGCGAGCCGCCGCGTGCGCCCCTCACGCACTGTCCCACTCCGCCCTCGCCGCGGCGAGCTCGGCCTTCGTCTCCTCCAGCTGCTTCTCTAGCGCCGCGACCTCCGCGTCCTGCGCCGCCAGCTTCTCTTCCAACTCCAGCGCGTAGCCCAAGGACGACGACACGTAGTTCGCCGCCTGCGCACAAATCACAACGATCGTTCAGAAGACTCCGGACATGCCGCCCACCGGTGAAGAACTTGACACCGCATTTGCTGGCACGGCATACCTGGAGAATCGCAACATAGCTCGCTGCGATGACATCTGACGGCTCGGTCGCCGCAAACGCGCGCTGCTGCGGTGGCGCGACGGCGCCCTGCAGCAGCTCCCGTGCAGCCTCCCAGCCCGTGCCGTCTCCGTCGTGGCTGATGGGAAACCCCGGCGGTGGCGAGCGCATCCCGGACAGCGGCGTGTTCAGCAGAGAACGAGGCGGGCCCTCCTCGCTGCTGGCTTCCTCCAGATTCCTCTTCTTTGCGCACAACGGCGGCGACCCTGGCGCGTGGCTGCCCGGCTCGGCTTTCGCCTTCTTCGCCGACGCCGACGCCTGAGCGGCCGCCTTCTCCGCCAGCATATGCTTCATTATCTCGTAGACAGAGGGATCCATGCCTAGCACACGAACACGATAGGTAGCAACATCAGAGCTCGATTAAAAACAGGGGAATCGGAGTGGTTACGGATGGTGTTCAATTACCTTTGGAATCGGAAGCAATGCGACTAAAAGAAGCCGGCGGCGGCGGCCGCCGCGCAGATGCAGCAGGTGCCATGGCGGCTGCGAGGTTGCTGTCGGAGAGACATGTATCGATGTCAACGGCGGCGCTGGCGTAACTGCGCAGTAGCTTCGCCGCGTGTTTCTTCCTCTCGCTGTCAAGTACCGGCACCATGAAAGAGCTCTTGGACGGCTCGCCCCACTCCACGGGGAAAGGCCACGGCTCCGGCGACGACAGGAAGAAGAACGAGTTCTTCCAGTCCTTGATGCAGCTCGGCATCCCCTTGAAGCGCAGGCCGGAGTTGTCCCTGGATCGGAAAAAGTAGCAGCCTCTGTGCTTGTGGTTGACGATGGACAGCAGGAAGAAGTACCGGAACACGGGCAGCGACGGCGGCACGTCGGCGGAGTGGCAGAGCACGAGGAAGCCCGCCAAGATGCGCCACCCGTTGGGCGCGAGCTGGGTGGGCGCGATGCCGAAATGGGCGAGCACGTCGCAGAAGAAGCCGTGCAGCAGGACGCGCATGCCGGCCTCCAGGGCCTCCGCGTACACGCAGACGCACCCCGGCGGCGGGGGCGAGCTCGCGCGCAGGTCGCCGGCGGGGCGCGCGGTGTACCGGTCCCTGGGGACGCCGTACTTGTCGCACACCGCGTCCACGTCGTGCTGCGTTCGCAGGAACGAGACGGCGTCCTCGGTGTCGCCTTGTCTGCGGAGGGCAGGGTGGTGGTCCGGCTCGAGGGAAGACGAGGAGGAGGAAGGCATGGCAATGGCGTCCTGCTTGTCTTCCTCACGTTTCCTCTCGCAGTGGCAAGAGTGTAGCAGTGGAGTGGAGTGGCTTCCCGAGGAGCCTAGCCTGGTGGTGGTGGACGCTGGATGTCTTCTAGGCCAAGGCAGGACACCCCCATCCAACGGATAGTCAAAATGAATCAAAGCTTGCGTTAAATCATTTGACCATCCATCGTGCAAACTAAACCCGGGCATGGGCAGCCCGGCCCGAGCCCGGCCCGAAAAACCCGGGCCGGGCCGGGCCAGGCTTGACGTTCGGGCCGGGCTCGGGCCTAGTTTTGCAGCCCGGAAGATAGTTCGGGCCGGGCTCGGACTTCATTTTTTATGTATTTCGGGCCGGGCTTTCGGGCTTCGGGCCGGGCTTGCACGTGCATACACTAAAAAACAGCGTTCAGGCCGGGCTTTCGGGCTTCGGGCTTGACTTCGGGCCGGGCTCGGGCTTGAAATCAGGGAGTATTTCGGGCTTCGGGCCGGGCTCGGGCTTGGGAAATGAAGGTCGGGCTTTTATAAGCCCGGCCCGAAACCCGGCCCGGCCCGACGTTTGCCCGGGTTTAGTGCAAACGCCCAAGTCATCAGTTGGCAAACGAGTATACTCGGCTCGATTTTTTGTGGAAAGAGACCACCTGGCGCCAACGAATTGCCAAGAGAGACCAACTGCAGATGAAATTAACAAAAAAGACCCCCTCGGTCGTGGCGGCAGGCGCGACAGGCAATACGTGGCACCTGCCGCCACGGCAGGAGGCCGCCATCCAGGCAAAACGCGATTGGTACAGTGCATGTCGCTGGGACGGAACAGGGCGGGCCAGGTGGGCCATGCCGCCACCGCACGAGGCGGCCCCTGCTGGCGCTGTCGCTCGCAGGCCGACAGGCCGTGCAGGTCGTGGGGCCAGTCGGTGGCCCACGCCGCCACCGCAGCAGGCGGCACTGCTGTTGCTGCTGCGAGCCGAGATTTATCAAACGGCGCTGATTCCGATGACAAACTGCGTTGATTCCGATGCCGCGAAACTTGCTGCTGCAGTGGAGGTGACAGCACCAAATTCGATGGCAATGCCTTTTTTTTGCTTTCTGCCACAAGTTCCGATAATCTGGAATCGTATTCCCGCCTGCCTGCGTGATTTGCGCTTCTATATGTAGCCGAAGAGACAACACTCAGGCGTGCTGATTTGTACGTGTGATTTCGTGCCGCACACCCAAGAGCATTGATGTTGCTGCGTGTGATGAGACACCATGATGCTGGAATCCGAGACCATGGTAGGTGAGTTCTAACTCGTTTTGCCGACAATATAGCGGTCCTCTTCTATTAATACACTCTCTGTCGAAAATCTCGGGTTGCCTTCTCTGCCTCTCTGCTCTCTGTAAGTCTACAAGAATACACAGAAAGAAAAACTTGGTAGCCACTTTCAGTCGTGATTTTGGCTGATTTAGAGTTGGATTTAGAAGATGGTGAAGTTGAAGAAAAGGTAGATTAAGGTAAGATCTATCCATTTTTGTTGGTTTCCTTTGCATGCATGATATTTTTGTTCTCTTTGATTAATTCCTAAGTGTGTATTCTATGTTGTTTTAGGCATTATTTCAGCAGTTGGAGGAGTCATTTGGAGTTTTTGGAGTAGGATTTGCCGTGCAAAGTGAAGTATGAACGGGAAGAACGAGGTATGAGCTTTGTAATATATGAATTTTTCTATGCATGCACGGTGATAATTAGTTAGTCTTTTAGCTCGTCATTAGCTATGCGATGTAAGTGTTTAGAGGTTAGAAAAAATTGCAGATGACAGATGCAATATTTATACTATTTTTTTGAGAAGAGTAGGTTGAAGATGTTGTATTAATGTTAGCTGTGTCCATTAGTATTTAGATGTGAGAAGATCTTAATACGGCAATTAAAAAAATTGCACTGCAATTGTTCATTGCATGTGGTATGTTATTTCATGTGGTATGTTTATTACTAAGTCTATAGTTAGGAAACCGTATGTCTACGTACATGCATGCAAGTGCTATTTTCATACTTTTGATAGCAAAAAGAAAAATCCGTGTGTAATATTGATGTTCATGTGATAATAGGTTTGACTCCGTTCATATAATACTGGTGACATATATTTATTCGAACTATTTTGACGCTTAATCGCATTTGCAAGCACATCCATATTGGAGCTGAGGTATAAATGACGCCGTAATTTTGTTAATATTTTTTATACTGATGTAATGTTGTGAATAATATGCATGCCGCTATGAATATTAATATTTGTAAATAAATGAATATTATTGTATGATATGAAAAAAATCTATAAAACCGGAAGATATTGAATGTTTTACTTATATGATATTAAAATGTTATTATCATACTATTATGTTTAGTGGTTGTTCGGATAGCGAGTAATTACGTTCGGTTTTTACCAATAGTCGTTTTTCCAAAAGCTCTGTTTTTGCATGTTACGAGAACTGATACGTCTCCAACGTATCTATAATTTTTGATTGTTCCATTGTATTATATTATCCATCTAGGATGTTCTATATGCATTTATATGCTATTTTATATGATTTTTGGGACTAACGTGTTAACCTAGAGCCCAGTGTCAGTTTCTGTTTTCTCCTTATTTTTGAGTTTTATAGAAAAGGAATACTAAACGGAGTCCAATCGACGTGCCAATTTTTGATGATTTTTTGTGGACCAAAAGAAGCCCCTGGAGTGAAAGACTTAGGCCAGGGAGAGTCCCGGGCTGCCCACGAGTGTGGGGGGCGCGCCCACACCCCTGCCTCGTGGACAGCCCAGAGACCCCCCTGACGTGAGACCTACGCCAAAAATTCCTATAAATACTGAAACCTCCAGAAAATAACCTAGATCGGGAGTTCCACCGCCGCAAGCCTCTGTAGCCACCAAAAACCTCTCGGGAGCCCTTTCCGGCACCCTGCTGGAGGGGGAACCCATCACCGGTGGCCATCTTCATCATCCCGGTGCTCTCCATGACGAGGAGGGAGTAGTTCACCCTCGGGGCTGAAGGTATATACCAGTAGCTATGTGTTTGATCTCTCTCTCTCTATCGTGTTCTTGAGGTGATACGATCTTGATGTATCGCAAGCTTTGCTATTATAGTTGGATCTTATGATGTTTCTCCCCCCTCTACTATCTTGTAATGGATTGAGTTTTCCCTTTGAAGTTATCTTATCAGATTGAGTCTTTAAGGATTTGAGAACACTTGATGTATGTCTTGCCGTGCTTATCTGTGGTGACAATGGGATGTCACGTGATCCACTTGATGTATGTTTTGGTGATCAACTTGCGGGTTCCGCCCATGAACCTATGCATAGGGGTTGGCACACGTTTTCGTCTTGACTCTCCGGTAGAAACTTTGGGCACTCTTTGAAGTACTTTGCGTTGGTTGAATAGATGAATCTGAGATTGTGTGATGCATATCGTATAATCATGCCCACGGATACTTGAGGTGACAATGGAGTATCTAGGTGACATTAGGGTTTTGGTTGATTTGTGTCTTAAGGTGTTATTCTAGTATGGACTCTATGATAGATCGAACAGAAAGAATAGCTTCATGTTATTTTACTACGGGCTCCTGAATAGATCGAGAAGAAAGGATAACTTTGAGGTGGTTTCGTACCCTACCATAATCTCTTTGTTTGTTCTCCGTTATTAGTGGCTTTGGAGTGACTCTTTGTTGCATGTTGAGGGATATTTATATGATCCAAATATGTTATTATTGTTGAGAGAACTTGCACTAGTGAAAGTATGAACCTTAGGCCTTGTTTCCTACCATTGCAATACCGTTTGTGCTCACTTTTATCATTAGTTACCTTTCTGTTTTTATAATTTCAGATTACAAAAACTTATATCTACCATCCATATTGCACTTGTATCACCATCTCTTCGCCGAACTAGTGCACCTATACAATTTGCCATTGTATTGGGTGTGTTGGGGGACACAAGAGACTCTTTTTTATTTGGTTGCGGGGTTGTTTGAGAGAGACCATCTTCATCGTATGCCTCCACGGATTGATAAACCTTAGGTCATCCACTTGAGGGAAATTTGCTACTGTCCTACAAACCTCTGCACTTGGAGGCCCAACAACGTCTACAAGAAGAAGGTCGCATAGTAGACATCAAGCTCTTTTCTGGCGCCATTGCCAGGGAGGTGAGTGCTTGAAGGTATATCTTTAGATCTTGCAATCGAATCTTTTTGTTTCTTGTTTTATCACTAGTTTAGTCTATAAAAGAAAACTACAAAAAAATGGAATTGAGTTTGTCTCATACGCTTCATCTTTTTAATATCTTTCGTAAGTATGATGAAAAGGAAATTTTGCTCAAGTGCTAGAAGAAGAAGTCTATGAAATGTTTGGCATAAAATATTTGAATGATGAGCATGATTGCAATGTTGTTAGTATGAACGCTTTGAATATCCATAGTACTAATGACGACTGCAGTAGTTATGATGAAAATGTCTCCTATAAGCATGTCGATTTTTGTGGAGAGCATTGAGTTTGCAAGTACA